TGAGCTCCATGTCATTCTCGTGCAACATGCTACTCGTCAACCAGAGCGCGACGCTGCTGCGCGCCGGCGGCGCAAAGCTCGGTACACTCAACGGCCTCGCGCAGATGAGCTCGTCGGTGATGCGCGCGCTCGGGCCCTACGCCGCCTCGGCGCTGTTCGCGTGGTCCGTCGAGAAGAACATCCTGCACGGCAAGCTCGTCTGGCCCGTGCTCAGCGTCATCGGCGTCCTCGCCATCGTGGTCACCACGCAGATCGAGGATCTCGAGGCGCGCATACGCAACGAGGAGGGAGAACGTCATGCGCAAGTGCTGGCGCAGCGATGAGCGTCTTAAAAAGATATAATAGAAGCGTCGTGTCACGTCTGCGCATGCATGCTATACTATCCAGTGCTCCATTCCTCGCGACACACAGCCCGCCCGCACGCCAAACAATGCACCTTGCTCATTAACCCTGCACGATAGATACGCGTATGCATTCCTCTTCCCACCCCATAGCCTGTGCGCACTACCCAGCCTGGCAGGCGAGGGGGCGGTATATAACGAGAAATGCCGTTCTAGGTATACTGGGACCAACAAGTATGAGTCAAGATGCGACAAATTGCGGACGCGATACAGCGCGTGCATTGCGTGTGATTTTGTGACGAGGACGACGAGGACGAAGATGGGATGCGAGCAAAGGGGAGAGAATAACTGGGTGGCCGCAAAAAGCGGCGCGTGACGGCTCACGTCCGTGGCACCATTGTGCGCAGCGAAGGCGGCCTCTGACTCTAGCTCTGGCTCTGACTGTCAGTGGTGGGGGCAGTTTCTGCTGCGGTAGCCTCGTCGAGCCTGTACAGCCCGGGAAATGCGTCGGGGACGGGATCGGCGGAGGCAGGGGTGGCGGGGTTTCCGAGCTGGCGCAAAAACGTCTCGGACAGAAAGTTCGAACCGGAGAAGTGCGGCGATAGGGGTTCCAGCGTGACGACACGGTGCAGCTCGACGCTCTCCCTACTGTGGCTGGCGCCGAAGATGCGCGACGGCTTATTGCTTGTCGTGCGCAGCTGCAGACGCTCGCCGGGCGAGTGCGCCAACTCCGAATTGGCACCTTCAAGTAGGTCGCCACTACCACTGGTACCGTGGCTCAGGGACGACATAGCTGCTCCCCGGCTGCCGGCGTTCATGCGCAAGAAGCCGCTCTGGTTGCCGGTGGCGCCAGGGTAGTGCATTTCGGCAAGGCGGCCGCCACCCTCGAGGGCCTTGAGGAAGGCTGCATGCTTGCTGTTGCTGCCGCTGCTGCTGCTAATGGCATGATGCGAGTCTCCAAACATTACTACGAACTTTTCGGCCGACGTCGACAGCGGGCGCTTTCCGCTGCCGCTGCCGCTACGCTGGGCCGCGCTCGGGAGCGCCTGCTCTGCGAGATCGACATAGAGATGGGTGGCGGCGAGGAGCGAGACGCAGCTCGAGGGCACGGCGGCAATAAGCGACATCATGGGGTTGAGGCGCGCGAGGCAGAGGCTGGTGATGACGGCATTGACGAGGAAGGTGGCGATAAAGTAAAGCGCGCCCTGCTGGACGAGCAGCTCGCCGATGCGCGAGGTCGATTTCATACGCACAACACCGACGAGGGTGAGGGCGAAGACGATGAAATCAAAGAAAATTGTGACGATGTATTTGGCAGAGTACTGCATTGGCACATCGGTGACCGCGCACGCGCCCGACGTCCAGGGGTCGTCGCTGCCGCCGGGGACCCAGACGGCGGTAACGTCTGGGACACCGACCATCCACGCGGCGGCTAGGCAGGTGGTGAGAATGACGAGCAGGACAGAGATGATGGTGCGTGCCTTGCCGTGCCAGAAGCACACGGTGCGGCAGGCGAGCAGGGCGCTGCACATGGTCGTGATGAGGCCCATGAATATCTCGACGGCGTCCATCATGCCCTGGCAGTTGATCTCGGTCGTGGTGTAGGAGATGGCGACTGAGACAGCAATGTAGCCCCACCTGTGGCCGTGCAGTGAGCCATGTCAGCGAACGCTGGCAGGCAACCCTCCCCCCTGTGCTGCCCACGCAGGGCGGGCCGACTGAGTGACTCGACTCACCACGACAGCTTGGCGCCAAAGTAGAAGAGCTGGGGCCAGCGGCGGTCGCGCTGTCCGGCAAGGATGGACCAGTCGAACGAGGCAAAGCGCACATGGTCGTACAGCGCAATCCCGATTGACATCCATAAGAACGCGACGGCGACAGAATGGTCGCGCTTGATCTCGACCGTGCTCGTCCAGTCTGGCATGTCGAGTCGTGGGTGTGAGCGTGCTGGAGTCAGAGATATCACAAAACCAGATTGTCCCCGTCTGCCGTCGGCGGCGAGAAAGAAGCGTATCAAAGGGCGGCGATGAGGGGGAGGGGAGGGGATGGGGTATGCGGCCTATGTATCTACCATGCTGCGATTCAGGCCCAAGGGTGCGAGATGGACCAGCAGCGAGCGCAGAGTACGAGGGAGAGAGCACTGATGCGCAAATATGTAAGCACGACGGGAAAGCAAACGAGCGATAAGCGGATGGGCGGTCCCCGGCGCGGGTTGCGATGGTAACACATGCATATATGGAGAGCGAGCCATGAGAATGAAAGAGAGGGCTGAATGTGTGTATGTGTGACATGTTTATGCGTGCATGCTCAGTAGTTCTATGCTACATGCTCGCTTCTCAAGTCAAACAACCCTCCCGGATCGGAGACCATCGGCATTTTGGGGCGAGTTATGTCCCACTGTCCGCGAAATGGCCAGCACTGGGGGGACTCCCCCTATCTGCTCGTGCAGCGTGCCCCTATTAGGATGGTTTACTCTTGGCGCAATTAATACCTTGAGGGGAATGCTTAATTGTCATGGTAGATTATAGTTCGTGGGCTCAACGACGCGAGCATTCCTATGAAAAGTTTAAATCCGAGCCAGGGGCAAACTCACAAGCCTTTGCAAGACCATTGTTTTTGCAACGTCTTGTATTGACCGCAAAGATTTCAGTGAACATGGAGCAGCAAGGTGAGCAGCGATGCATGAAGGACGGCGACACCTACTGGCCGCCAAAGGTAGCAAAGGAGATGGCGCGAGCCTCTTGCCTAAATCATGCTGTGCAGCGTCAAACTCACTCTGCGCGGTACTTGCTTGGCCGGCACGAAAGATGCTCGACGTGCATGAAGACGTTTGCGATTTCATACGTTATCGCCGATGAATATGCCGCACCGCATGCTGCAGGTGAAATTTGAGGATTTCTATGATGTATTGGGAGTTGTCTAGGAGTTACGTAGACAACGCACAGCGAAGATGGACAAAGATACACACCGCAAAATGTATATACATAGACGAAACACACAACTAGAACAAGGGGAATGGAGTCAGCATCATCAGCCCCCGTCCCTCTGCAAATGTGCAGCGCCGCCTGCAGCTCCTCGACGCGCATGCGCTTCCTTCAGCTGCCGCTTCGTTTCACTGCACCCGTGCGTCCTCTGGCCGCTGCTACTGTTGGCTGCTGATCATGTCCGACTCGGCACGACCAAGGACGAAGGCCACCGAGCCGTGAGGGCCTGTCGGCAGCGAATACGACCGGCGCGGAGCAGTGGCATCCGCGCCAGCCTCGGATTCTCCATCTGACTCCGACCCTGAATCAGACGACAGCTCGAGGACGTCGAGCCCCGGCAAAAAAGGGGCGCAGCCGGTGCCCGTGATGGAATTATCCGTCAGTGGCAGGTCGAGCGCCGTCAGCAGCGGCAAGACTGACTTGGGCCCAGCGCGTCCCCTGCTTCTGCTGGCGCTGACGCTGACCCGGACGATGCGGCCACACTGCTGGCTCCGCCAGAGCCGGACCGCAGGCGCGGGCGACGCTGACCCTGTGCGCTACAGCAATGAGGCCACTGATACAGACGCAGATGTTGGCGTCGCTTTGGCGAAGAGAGGCGCTTGTTGGATGCGCTCTGCTCCTCGCGCTCGAAAGGCGACTGCCTCTCGATGGACAGGGTACTGAACACAACGTCGTTGGACCCACCCACTGCCTCGATCTTCTGCGAGCGCGAAAGCGAGAGCGACGGCGAGTTTTCGTGCTCGCGTTCGTGCTGCGAGTCAAACGAGGAGCTGGTGTCGCGCTTGTGTTCACGAGACTAAGGGTACGGATGCGAAGAAGGCTCCCCCTCACTCAAAGTGTCGGCTACATCTGTGTGCGGACGGCCGAGTGTGCTGGGGGACGAAATGTACTGCCGCATCAGCTGGATTGCATATTATCTTTTCTCCTCTCCCTCTCCCTCCGCCTCCTCCGAGCCCGCGAACGGCAGCGCCTTATGATGATGATGAGCAGCTTGACTGCGCAAGAGGACGACGAGGCGTCAGTGAGGATGAGCGGCGCAGCGCCGCACGCTGCGAGGGTGAGGCAGATCCCGTAGAGCCATCGCTGCTGCGCCGGCAGATAATAGCCGAAGAGAAGCACTGCGAGCATGACGTACGCGGCAGCGTCGCTCGCGCTCGCTGCGGCTGACGATGATGTTGGCAGTGGTGATGATGATAACGATGTCCGTGTGAGCGGCTTAAGCGCCGGATGCGCTCAAGCCCAGCGCCGCTTGCGCCAGAGCTAGTGCAGATGGCTCACCACAATCGATACTACCGCCAGGATGCAGACGAGGCCACTCACTATTGGACACTATTTCTTTCTTGTGAGACATGGAGGAAGGAAGTTCAGTACGGCTCGTGCCGAAGGGAATATCATGATCGCGCAAGACACGCATCCAAGTGAGCAATATTCGCCATGCCGCCACCCACGGCCAGCACGCAAGCCGTGCAGCCGAGCTCGGAGGACAGCGCAAGCAGCGTCGTCTTGAAGGACACCATGCTGGCACCGGTGCATACGCAACGAGCGCTTCGCAGGTTCTTTTGTCGAAAGAGAATGACGCTTGGGGCTCGATCGTCATAAGGGATTCTTTATCCGCTCCACTCAGGGGGACCTCAAGGGTGGGTCAGTGAGCAGCATGTCCGTCTTCGGGCCAAGCTGCTCTTTGATATATGATTGGAATCCTGCGCCATCAATCAAAAGTGACGCCAGGCCGCTCTGTGATCAGACGAGCGGTGGCCGTGACAACGCGCACACGCGCGACTAGCGCAGCTGCAATCTCCGTCGCCTTTGTTGCTTACCTGCACGCTTGCTTGCGGAGCGGAGGCCTGATGGGCTATATATAGTGGATGCTGGGGCCAAATAAAGAAAGGATTCTGAGCAACATGATTGGCGATGATGTTCTACATAATTGACGGACACAGGAGTACCTGTTGGCGGCTTTTGCCGTTTCGCCTACAGCTGCCTCGGGGCTTCCGAGGGTCGGAAAATGTCACATTCTATGACAAGCCACAGTCTCAGCGTGACGCCGAGCTTCATCGGTGTTCTCAGCAAGCCATAATCTGCCCGCATCCTTTCTGTAACGACCCATCAAGACCGCCTCCACGAGCATCCCAGTGAGACTCAGTCTATTTAAACTTACATCTTATCTTATCCAGATTTATAGTCTGAAATCCCAGGCATATCTTCTGTCTTCCTCGCCCCGCCTGATATGATCATCTCCATCGCAACCCTACGTCGTTGATCCTAGTTCCATTTCGCCTGATAGTGTCGCTCAAGGGCTACTCAGTCATTCTTCCTCCAGAGCTGTGATCGTCTAGGTTTGAGGGTTTTTTTAAATATCAAGGCGATTACGGTTCCTATCAGCAAGATTCCACTTCCAACCTCAAGCGGCAGCAAACCACCTCCGTTTTCAAGCCTCCATCCACTTCAACCTCCACTCCAGTTTCAAAATGCCCACATATAATCTGCGCAGTGCTTCAATCAGCGCCCACGCTGATAATCATCCGGCCACTCCAAGGCGGTCAACAGACCACCGACAACACAACTCCCGGCTCATTCTTCGCCAAAAGAAAATGTGAAGGCGCTCACACCAATGTTCTTTTGGTTCAACTTCTTCGCAGCCAGCACGATACTCTTCACTTGCTGCGCTTGGTAGTAGCCAATCAGCAAGCTCACGTTCAAGTTCAAACTCAAAATCAGCCTAATGTCACTGGGTCTGTCTATCATCCCTCACCGGCACCGACTCAACCGGCAGAAAGAACCACCAGAGAACGGGGTCGAGCGCGCGCATCACCGACGAGCTCATCTGCGCGAAGCCGTTGAGTGTACCGAGCTTTGCGCCGCCGGCGCGCAGCAGCGTCGCGCTCTGGTTGACGAGTAGCATGTTGCACGAGAATGACATGGAGCTCA